AGTTCAAGGGTAATGTGAGACCATTTCCTATCCAGTTTTTCTTAAATTATTCTGAATCTCTAACCTCTGAGGATTAAACACTTCTCATATATTTCAATCATCTGACTTGTAATGAGCAAACTCATGAATGGCCAGGGACCATTTACCAGCTAATCTCTATTCCCTGAACAAAGTCTGGGCAGCAAAGCCTCCACAGCTTATTTTAACATCAGGAAATCTTCAGACAAAATCCTCTGTGAACTGACCATCTGTCTTGAGGCGAGCTCACCTCTCTGTAACTAGGTTCCTTCATTCCAGCAAGCAGGCTAGCTCATTCCTCCTCTATAGTCCCCTCCTATCCTGCTCTGCATGGAGTAACCTCCTCCCTGCTGATCTACCCTAGTCACCTTTAAGACCTGACTTAGAGACAACACTGCCTGATTTGTGATCCTCTATCAGGCTGATCCTCCCTACCTCTCTAATCCCTTGTGCTTACAACTATGTAGCACCTCACCATCTCAAGAGCTCACTGAGATCACATGTATAAAGTGCTTTGCTATCCAGTAATTGTTAGCTATTGAAATAATTAGCTAAGGAACAACAATCTGGAGAAAATTTTATCTACAGGGGTCAGGGCTGCTGAGGTGGCTTTGTAAAGCAAAGGTAAAAGCCAAAACTCAGACTTGTTCCCTCTGCTAGTAACAATGTTCTGTCTCTGCTAAGGCTGTAAGTGTAGCTTTTGCTAGCCTAGAAATGAAAGAAGCTAAAAATATACAACCTTCCTATGTTTTGGGAACCAGAATCATAACAAACCTTAAGAACTAGAAATACAGGGCGGGGAAGGTGGCTTAGTGGTAGAATGTTTGCCTTGCATGCATGAGGCCCTGGGGTTCGATTCCTCAGCACCACATAAGCAGAAAAAAATGGAAGTGACGCAGTAGCTCAAGTGGTAGAGTGCTAGCCTTGAGCTCAAGAGCTGAGGGGTAGCACCCAGGCCCAGAGTTCAAGCCCCATAACCAACAAAAAAAAGGGGGGGGATTAAAAATATATTGTGAGTAGGGATGGGAGAGAAAAACAAGGAGAGAGGGAAGGGGTGACATTGTCCAAAAAGAAAAGTACTCATTACCTTACTTATGTAACAGTAATCCCTCTGTATATCACCTTTATAGTAACAATTTAAAAATTATTTTTAAAGAATTGGAAGTCAGACACTAATGGCTCACACCTGTAAATTCTAGCTACTCAAGAGACTGAGATCTGAGGATCACAGTTCAAATCCAGCCTGGACATGAAAGTCCATGAAACTCATCTCTAATAAACCACCAGAAAACTGAAGTTGTGTTGTGGCTCAAGTGGTAGAACACCAGCCTTGAGCTGAAGAGCTCAGGGACAGTTCCCTGGCCCAGAGTTCAAGTCCTGCAACCAACAACAACAACAAAAAAGAATTAGAAATACAGCCTCAAGGCAGTAAAGTGTTTTCCGGGATGCTTTCCTCTCTGAAAACTAGCTTCAAGCTCTGTAGAAGGCAGGGAAACAGGCTAGTTAGCTACTGACCATATTGGTATTCTCTCATACTCTTCTTTTAGCTCAGTGCAGAGTAAAAGAGAGAAACTTTCTTTTTATTTTGCATTAGAAAGGTGAGTCTATACCATTCTACTTTTACTCCTTTCCCCTTAAAAGAATACATAATACTATTATTAAAAACATTCCAGGAAATGGTACTGTAGCTTAAGTGGTAGAGCACTAGCCTTAAGCTGAAGAGCTGAGGGACAGCGCCCAGGCCCACAGTTCAAGCCCCACGACCAACAAAAAAAAAAAAAAACAATGCAAAAAAAATTCCATCTAATGCCGGCTCTCATGGTTCATGCCTGTAATCCTAGTTACTCAGGTGGCTGATATCTGAGGATCCTGGTTCCAAGGCAGCTGGAGGAGGAAAGTCTGTAATACTCTTATTCTCAATTAACCAGAAAAGCTGGAAATGGAGCTGTGGTTCAAGTGGTAGAATGTTAACCTTGAGCAAATAACTCAGGGACAGTGCCCAGGCCCTGAGTTTAAGTTCTGGGACTAGTGTAAAAATAAATAGTCCCTTGAGCTGGGCGCTGGTGGCTCATGCCTGTAATCCTAGCTACTCAGGAGGCTGAGATCTGAGGATCGTGGTTCAAAGCCAGCCCGGGCAGGAGAGACCGTGAGACTCCTATCTCCAATAACCACCAGAAAAACTGGAAGTGGCGCGATAGCTCAAGTGGTAGAGTGTTCCCCTTGAGCTGAAGAGCTGAGGGACAGAGCCCAGGCCCAGAGTTCAAGCCCCACAGCCGACCAAAATAAATAAATAATCCCAAAATCTGAATTTTGCTTCAAAAATTTAATGCTCTGAACAGTCAAAAAAGATACTGACTTTTTTTTTTGGTAAGTAGAAAACAAGAAAATTTAAGCACAGATGAAACTGCTAGAAGATGTGGATCTTCCCAGTCACCTCAGAATTACCATGGAAAATGAACTACCTGTAGGAAAGGGTCTTTGCTTCAGGCTAAGTAGTAACTCCAAACAGAGGATAAGACCTAACCTTTGACCCCTACTACTAGAGGCCAATGGTTCTCCAGGAGTTGTCAAAACATTCTAGCTGGAAGTAACTGAGGTCAGAGGGCTAGGACAGTAGCTTAAAGGAACAGACTCCACCACAAAAGGTCCTTCATCAATGTGAAATCAAAGTGTCGAGGGGACTATCTTTTGCTGAATGGGAATCAGCGAAGTTTCAACAAGCTCTCTTTGTTGGAACCAATAACAAAGGCATCATTTTGTCTATACTGATAACCAGAGTTCCTTCTACTCAGATCCAGAGAACTGTTAACACAGGCAAGCTCCCACCAGAGTCCCCTCACCCTATCTTTTCTTAGTCTTTCAGGCTCAAAACTAAGACTTCCCAAGTAGATCCAAGAATAGGCCTAAAGCCACTTGACATACTACATGTGTGCACATATACAGGGGGGAGCTACAAGTTTGATCCAATTTAAAAGTGATCTGGGCTGGGAAGGTGGCTCAGAGGTAGAGCGCTTTCCTTGCATGCATGAAGCCCTGGGTTCGATTCTCAGCACCACATAAGCAGAAAAAGCCGGAAGCGGCGCTGTGGCTCAAGTGGCAGAGAGCTAGCCTTGAGCTGAAGACCTGAGGGACAGCACCCAGGCCCAGAGTTCAGGTCCCACAACCGGCAAAAAAAAAAAAAAAAAAAAAAAGTGATCTGTTATCCAAAAGATACAGAAGCATTTTCAAATGATCTTGCAAACAGGGAGGAGAGGCTGCGAAGGCCAGTGAAAGAAGGTGTGATTCTGATCAAGTTACCTTATATGCATATGAGAACATGTCAAAATGAAATCTCCTTGTACTAATATATTGGGGGGGGAGATCTTGCAAACATAATTCCAGCTTAAAAAAGCTTTTACACTGGCCTGAAGGACTAACCAAGAAGTGGGTATATTCTATAAATCCCAAACTGCTTTGATGAGTTATAGGATAGAGTGCACAATACCAAAAGCACTAGGTACTAACCCTCAGGCAGAGATAATAAAAAGATCTATCTTCTTTCTGAAGTATAACAGAAAATAGGGAGATCAAGAAAGCCCACAAATTATGCTTTACCTTCACTTTTGCATCCACAGATAAATAAAAGCAACCTTTGCCAGGTGCCTAGTTACTCAGGAGGCTGAGATCTGAAGATTTCAGTTCAAAGCCAGCCTGAGGAAGGACTCTTATCTCCAATTACCTGCCAAAAAAAAAAAAAAGCTGGAAGTGGAGCTGTGGCTCAAGTGATAGAGCACTAGCTTTGAGCAAAAAAAGGTAAGGGACAGCACTTAAACCTTGAGTTCAAGCCCCAGGACTGGCACTAAAAAACAAATGTAACTCTCCACTTGGATGCTATGTTTATTTGTTTTTCTTTCCTACCTCCCCCGCCTCCCCAGACAGTTTCAATTGTAGCCCAGGCTGATCTGGCCTTAAATTCCGGGTCTTCCTGCTTTAGCCTCCTAAGTACTAGGACCAAAAAAGGTGTTCTATCAATTCTACCTGGATCCTTCCTCATTGTGTGGGATTCTTACTCTGTAAGATGTTTAACATCCTTGGCCCACAGGCACTAAGCATAGCACTGTGCTTGGTGTGATGACCAAACAACTCTTACTTGTTCCCCAAACCCCTTCCGGGACAATATCTCATTTAAAAACCAATTTAACTATAGTAACATAAGTCATATGTATGTATCACCTTGTCTGTCTATCTGTCTGTGTCTATACACATACCAAAGTCTTTTCACTATGTTGTCTCCTTTAACCTCAAGACTCTATGGAATAGGCATTTATCCCACCCACATTATAAAGAATGAAAGTGCCTCAGAAAAGTTACAGGATTTGCCCACAGTCGTTCAGCTAAAAAACAGATTACAAACTGGATCTGAACCCAAGCCTCTGATTCTAAAGCCAATACAGTCTTTTAAAACCAAGTCAGAGCCAGCAAATCTCAACCCTGCTACTTCTTCCCAGAACAGTTTTTGTGTTTTTAGGATTTTTTTAATGGTTTCATGGGAAACTCTGAGGCAATCTAGTGACTAGCTCTCCAGCTCCCTGCAAGGAAAGCTGGTAATAAACAAACAAACAAATAGAACAGAGGACTGGGAATGTGGCTTAGTGGTAGAGTCCTTGTCTGGATTCCATTCCTCAGTATCACATACAGAGAAAAGCCAGAAGTGATACTGTGACTCCAGTGGTAGAGTGCTAGCCTTGAGCAAAAAGAAGCTCAGGGACAGCGCCCAGGCCCTGAGTTCAAGCCCCAGGACTGGCAAAAAACAAAAACAGCAGAAACTGTGCTATAAACTAAGCAGTTCTTAAAACAGAGCAACCATCTCTTAAAGTGCCCAAACCCCAGGCTCACACCAGCTCTTACTTACAGAGGGACTGGATAATTGGAAAAGGATGTAATATTTTCCATTCTAGATCTAAGCAGAGATTGAGCAAGTTGGGAACGAAAAAAGCACCTACTGGGTATATGGGACCAGTGGCTAGACTCCCATTGCACAGCAACTCCATCCTTGCCATAACCCTGGGTAAAGGTGAGAAGGTAGTTGAACCGATGAGGGAGGAGAAGAGGATAAGAATTGAACCATCACCTGTATACAACAGCCTAACTAACCCCTTCCTCTACAAGCAAAACCTATCATGTAAATAATTCTATTAGTCCTTCATAGTTTGGGACACTATTTAGAATATCTCTCAATGATCTCAAAGTATTTTAGAAACTGATAAAAGTTACAGATTAATATAGTTAGGGGTATAAGAGACTGCCTATAAAAATAAAAATCTCTCCACGTCTCTCACCTATCCAACACACAAACTCCCAATCTATGTCTTTGCTGTGAGGTGAAGGAAAAGTTAAAGAATGTGGAAGAGGCTGGGAATGTGGCTTAGTGGTAGAGTGCCTGCCTAGCATACATGAAGCCCTGGGTTCAATACCTCAGTACCACATATAAAACGCCAGAAGTGGTGTTGTCTACTGGTGGCTCATGCCTGTAAACCTATTCAGGAGGCTGAAATCTGAGGATTATATAGTTTAAAGCCAGCCCAGGCAGGAAAGGCCATTAGACTCTAATCTCCAATGAACAACAAAAAGCTGGAAATGGTGCTGTGTCTCAAGTGGTAGAATGCTAGTCTTGAGCACAAAAGCTCAAGGGACAGGGGGCTGGGAAGGTGGCTCAGTGGTAGAGTGCTTGCCTTGCATGCATGAGGCCCTGGGTTCAATTCCTCAGCACCACATACGCAGAAAAAGCCAGAAGTGGCACTATGGCTCTAGTGATAGAGTGCTAGCCTTGAGCTGAAGAGCTGAGGGACAGCGCCCAGGCCCTGAGTTCAGGCCCCATGACTGGCGAAAAAAAACCAAACTCAAGGGACAAAGGACAGACCCAGAGTTCAAGCCCCAGGACTGACACCAAAGCAGGGAGGGCAGGGAGAGCAGAAAGAAGTGTGGCAGGTAAAGACAAAAGTGTCTAGACAGAGAGGTAGCTTCAGATCTCAGTACCTTTATTAGGGGACTCACTTCCTATGGAAGGAAGACACAATAAAAAGTAAAAGATTTAGCTTTGCCAAGGTAGGCAGGGATAGGAAGTAAAAACTCAGGGATTCTAGCTGCAGAGCTAAGCTCTATCATGGAATCTCTTCTCTTCTTCATAGACTACCACCTTAAAATCCTCAATTCCCTTCAGTGGCTATTCAGAGGAGTCCTGAAGTACCCAGTGAGGAGCAGGAGACAGGAGGTAATGTGACAACAGCACATTCTCTTATCTTTAAAGAAAAAGGTCCTTCCTCTAAAGTCATTTCTGAACTGGAATGAACCCCGGCCTTTCCTTGGCACTGCTACACTCAGCTCAGACTTTGGAAAAATGTTTCTCCAGAACAGAGGTGACCACCCTGGCACACTAGATAGCATGCTGACGTCAGGCAACCGGCGCTGCTACACCCCAGGCTCACTACAGACAGCTCTGGAGTATTTTGGTTTGGACCACAGAACCAGGCTCGCCTACCCCTCCTAGGCAACTTCAGGAGCAGAGGAGGATCTGTGGTCATACTTCCTCTCTACCTTGGCTTCTTTTTTCACCTCACTGAAGATCAGTTATTTCCACCATAACCAGTTCCTGTTTCTCACCAGATGTAGCAGTTGTTTCCCCAGAGACAGAGTTATGAAGCATTATGACTGCCACCTGGACTGTTCCAGCTGCAGGCCCAACAAGTCTCCAGCCAAAGGGTTTTTCATCCCAGATAAGGTAGCTAGAAGAAGAATGTTAAAAGGCAGGAAGCAATTCCACAAACTCCACAGTGGACATACTAGTGTTAATTTTAGTATTTTATTTGTGTGTGTGTGTGTGTGTGTGTGTGTGTGTGTGTGTGTCCCCTGGGATATGAACTCAGGGACTGAGCATTGTCCCTAAATACCTTTGCTCAAGCCTAGCACTATACCAATTGAGCCACAATTCTATTTCCAGCTTTTGGTGGTTAACTGGAGAGTTAAGGACTTTCAAGAGTTTCAAGGACTTTCCTGCCCAGGCTAATTTTGAACTGCAACCTCAGATCTCTGCCTCCTGAGTAGCTAGGATAATAGGCATGAGCCAGTGGTACTCAGCAATGTTAGTGTTTTATTCTTTTTTTTTGTTAAAATAAAGGTGATATATAGAGGGGTTACAGTACATAGTTATGTAATGACCAATGTCAAGTATTTTATTCTTGTAAAATATTTATAAAAATAAGAATATTTAACCAGGAGCTGGGAAGGTGGCTTAGTGGTAGAGTGCTTGCCTAGCATGCATGAAGCCCTGGGTTTGATTCCTCAGTACCACATACACAGAAAAATCCAGAAGGGCACTGTGGCTCAAGTGGTAGAGTGTTAGGCTTGAGCAAAAGAGCTCAGAGACAGTGCTCAGGCCCTTAGTTCAAGCCCCAGGACTGGCAAAAAAATACACCCACCCACACACACACACACACACACACACACACACACACACACACGTATATATTTAGCAGGGTGTCAATGGCTCATGCCTGTAATCCTAGCTACTCAGGAAGCTGAGATCTGAGGATTGAAGTTCAAAGCCAGCCCAGGCAGGAAAGTCAGTGAAACTCTTTATCTCCAATAAACCACCAGAAAACTGGAACTGGCGCTATGGCTCAAGTGGTGGAACGCTAGCCTTGAGCTGAAGAGCCGAGGGACTGCCCAGGCCCAGAGTTCAAGTCCCACAACCAAAAAAAAAAAAAGAATATTTGTTCATATGTGAAAAATGTTGTAATGTTCAAAGTGTGGGGAAAATATATAGTACAAAGATACATAAATATATAATAAATCCCCAACAGAGAATAAAGAACACAAACAAAAGATAGCCTAAATACATGATAAAATGTTCAGAAAAATGCAAAATAAAACAAAATAATCTAGGGGAAAGGTCTTATATAACAAGGTTAGCCGGGCACTGGTAGTTCATGCCTATAATCCTAGCTACTCAGGAGGCTGAGATCTGATGATCTTGATTCAAAGCCACCCTGGGCAGGAAAGTCTCTGAGACTCTTATCTCCAATAAACCACTCAGAAAACTGAAGTGGCACTGTGGTTCCAGTGGTAGAGCACTAGCCTTGAGCTGAAGAGCTCTGGACAGTGCCCTGGCCCAGAGTTCAAGTCCCACAACCAACAAAAAAAAAGAAAACAAGGTTAGTGGCCACTGGCCTGGAATTCATGATCCTAATGTCTCAGCTTCCTTAGTGCTGGAATTATAGTCATGCACGACCATATTTACCTTGAAACTTACCATTTCTTATTAATCAGATTAGTAAAGTGTATGAGTGTGTGTGTCTGAGTCTGTGTGTTGGTCCTGGGGCTTGAACTCAGGATCTGGGTACTGTCCCTGAGCTCTTTTGCTTAAGACTAGTACTCTTGGGCTGGGAAGGTGGCTCAGTGGTAGAGTGCTTACCTTGCATGCCTGAGGCCCTGGGTTCGATTCCTCAGCACCACATAAGCAAAAAGAAAAAAAAGCCGGAAGTGGCCCTGTGGCTCAAGTGGTAGAGTGCTAGCCTTGAGCTGAAGAGCTGAGGGACAGCGCCCAGGCCCAGAGTTCAGGCCCCACAACTGGACCCAAAAAAAAAAAAAGACTAGCACTCTTGCCACTAGAGCCACAGTTCCACTCACAGCGTTTTGATTGTTGATTAGAGGTAACAATCTCATTAGGGCTAAGTGCTAGAGGCTCAAGCCTGTAATCTTATCTAGTCAGGAGACTGAGATCTGAGGATCTTGGTTTAAAGCCAAGGGTTGTCCAAGAGACTCTTATCTCTGATGAATTTTCAAAAAGTCAGAAGTGGAGCTGTGATTCAAGTGATAGAGTGCTAGCCTTAAGCAAAAAGCTCAGAGATAGCACCTAGTCCCTAGATTCAAGCCCCAAGACTGGCACCAAAAAAAAAAAGTGTCTCATGGGCTTCCCTGCCCAGACTAGTTTCAAACCATGATTTTCAGAGGTCAGCTCCTCAAGTAGGTAGTATTACAGGGGTGAGGCATCAACACCTGACAGCAAAGGTTTTTAAAAAGCTAAACCATCTATAAACAGAGAAAACAGAGCTGAGGAGGCAGAGCACCTGCCCAGCATGTATTAGGCCTTAGGTCTGATACCTGAAACGGGAAGGGGAATGAGGACAAGGAATCTAATTTATCAGTAGAAAGAATAACTGACAACTTTTTTTATAAGGTATATGTCTCAAAGGTTTTTTAAAAAGTACATATATATGTATATGGGGGGGCGGTAACAAGTTAGACAAGAAATGTAATCACTACTTTACTTATGTAACCATAACCCTCTGCATACTTTGACCATAAAATTTTTTTTAATTCTAAAAAGAATGTATATGTGAGCCGGGCATCGGTGGCTCATGCCTATAATCCTAACTACTTAGGAGGCTGAGATCTGAGCATCTCGGTTCAAAGCCAGCCGGGACAGGAAAGACTGTGAGACTCCTATCTCCAATAAACCACCAGCAAACTGGAAGTGGTGCTGTAGCTCAAGTGGTAGAGCACTCGCCTTGAGCTGAAGAGCTGAGGGGCAGTGCTCAGGCCCAGAGTTCAAGCCCCACGACCGACAAAAAAAAAAGAATGTAGATGTGTGTGTGTGTGCGTGTGCGCGTGCATATCTTTTGACCCATTTCTAGCAATCTAAAGCAATAATGAAATGAATAAAAATACTTATGCCAAAAATATTCATCATGTTATTTAAAACAAAAACACCATGGGACTGGGAAGGTGGCTCAGTGGTAGAGTGCTTGCCTTGCATGCATGAGGCCCTGGGTTCGATTCCTCAGTACCACATAAGCAAAAAGAAAAAAGCCAGAAGTGGCGCTGTGGCTCAAGTGGTAGAGCGCTAGCCTTGAGCTGAAGAGCTGAGGGACAGCGCCCAGGCCCAGAGTTCAGGCCCCACGACCGGACCCAAAAAAAAAACAAAAAACACCAGAGAGATTTAACAATAGAAAGAAAGAAGAAAGAAAAAGAGAGAGAGAGAGAGAGAGGAGGG